CACGGTCCCCCTGGTTTTCTTCCTATTTTGGTGTTGCGGCTGCTACTATTTTTGCTTACACGAGGGATGGTCTCGGCTTATAGGGGCCCAGAGCGATCCCAAGCACTGTCTAGTAGTGGCAGAGCACGAAATGCCCCTTGAACGCACGCCCCAAGTCACGCCGTTCCCCTGCAGCGCTGCGCTTGCATCACGGTCCCCCTGGTTTTCTTCTTGTTTTGGTTTTGCAGCTACCATTCTCTGCGATTCCGCAAGGATACTCTCGCCACAAGAGCCCAAGAGACGTGCAAAGAGGCCATCCAGCGACAGGGTACGAAACGCCCCTTCAACCCAGGCCTTACGCCATTTCCCGCGTGCGTGGCGCTGCTTATGCACGGCGGACACCGTTTTTCTTCCTAACTTCGCTGCGCAACTGAAATTTTGTGGACACAAGGATGCCCAAAGTCTGTAGGGGTGCGACATGTCGGGCGCGTGGGGCGCTGCTAATGCACCACGCAACTTTCCATGTCGCCCAGACACACAAATCACTCACAGTGAATAAACAAGACCGCGGAAATAGGAAGAAATTAAATATGATGACAATTGTTTTCCTAAAACTGACCCCCCCCCCTCCGTCCGTTTCGACCAATAGACCAATAGAGGACATACCGCTCCCCCCCCCCGGAAACAAGAGATAGGGGGGGGGGGAATCGGAAGGAGCTGTGCAAACAAAAGCAAACCCCAAACAACACGAAACAACGGCGGTCACTATCCACATGTGAAGCACCTGGGCCTATCCAGTCAGCAAGAGATGTAGATATGCATATTAGCGGTATCATGCAAAACCGTGTGGATCAAAGCTTCACACAAAGTTTTTTGGGCAGCGTGCCGGCAATGTGGCGGTGCCGGGCAGGGCGCCTGTCCATGAACGGATGGGCCGCATGTCCATTTCTTTATCTCACGTCTGGGCAACCTACGGCCGCGAATGCGTGAGCAAAAACGGAAAGCAGGTTGGCACTTGCGGAAAAAACATGTTGACCGAAACTAAAAAAATCACAACGTGGCGCTGCTCCAGGGTTGGGCGGGCGCACATGGCATACCCATGTTACACCCATGTTTCCTGTTCCCACCACGGATGCACCGGTACGCCGCAGCTTGGCCCAAAGCCGAATACATCTTGCAAAGGTACGCCACAGGGCACCCCTGCAAGCCCGTTTAGGCTGAATTTTTGGCATCCAAAACAAGAGGGGAGCATGTGCCCAACTTGCGGCAGTTCCTTCACATGGACGGCCGATTTGCGTGTCAGTACCCTTGCACCGTTTCCAATTGTTTTTCTCTTCATGGCCACTTTGAGCCTATAGCTGTGGAAGGATTTGCGTGTACGGCATGTGTGGAAACATACATGCTGCATCGATGCGTGTTTTGCTACAGTTTGCGGGAAGGCGCAACAAAAAGCCGTGCACAGCTCACAGGGCAATAGTTGGGAGAGTCTCTTTCCCTGTGGCAAGCGCAAGCGAACCCCGGGGGCAACAAGCGAAACCGCCTAAAATCGCACAACAAACGACTGCTTGCATTCAGATCCGTGGTTGTTCTGGCGCATGGAAGATGGGACGTCTGGCAACTCTGTTGCATTCTATGACATCCACCATGTAGCGAATGCGCATGTCACGGGGGCGAAAAAATGGTACTAGAGTTACTAGAATGGCGGACGAATCGGATTTACCCACAAGTCGTTAACAGTGATGTGTTGCGCACTCAGGCAGGCAGAGCGGGAAGGCCGAAAATAATTAATAAAACAAACGAGGCTTCAAAACAAACTGAACACCACCAAAAGCATTTTATAGACAAACGTGGAGATGCAACTTTTAACTTTTAGGAAGTTTTTACAGTTGCATGGTCTAACGTTGGATTGCCGAAAAAACGAAACAACCTACGACACACCTAGCTGCGGCCGCCTTTGTTCGCGTGTTATGCATCGGTCTGATGGTGCGTTGACGCAGGTTATTTCGCCCACATCGGTCCTGCCGTATCTTCCATCGTCTTGTTGGGTTTGGCAATATGGAACACAGAATCCATTTTGAAAAACACATTGCTGAAATCAAGCATGCGCACAATCAATTTGCAGTTGTCGAAAAAATCATCTTGGAGGCACTGGCCTTGGCGGCGGAAAGCAGAGGGAGGCAAGCTGATGCTGAAACAGCATCACGAAGTTCCAGTACAGGACAAGCATACAGAGGCGGCGCTCTACCCACAAGGCTGAGCTGAATATGGGCCGGGCCGAACTTGCGCTCATGCGCACATCTCAGAAACAACTAGCAGCGGCAGATTGCAGACCGTTCTGAGGTCCAAAAAACACGTGCCAACTGGATCCTCATCATGATTGGGTTCTTATTATACCGATTGCAAAGAACCATCGTGCGTTGCACTGGCACATGCACACATTGCGCAAAACCTGGCAATCGAAGAGATAGGTCTAACGGGCCTAGCGAAAGTCTATGATGTTTCCCGCTTTGTCTCTCGCCTCTGCAACACGAGCACTGAGAGGAGGAGGGACGTGGGGCGAAGTTCTGCCAGCCATTAGACGTATATATTTGACTTCGGAGTCTCGAACGTGCAGCAACGCCGTACTAGGGTCTCGTTTGCCCAAGCAATTTTTGGCGCGGCTGAGGTGCTGAGCAAAGCTGTATGAAGCCGTTTTGCAGCAAGCACCCAAATTTGAAAGCAGTCAGCCAAACACTCATGTGCGGCTGAGCACCCAACGCATCGCAACGCCAGGCAAGACTGTTAAGCACCATCGGCCAAGTCGTCACGAAGGAACTAGAACTATGGTACCATAATATTGGAACATGGGTTCGGCATAACAGAAGTCGAATTTTAGAATTCCTTACAAGCAATCCATGTAACGCCTGAGAGATTCGTCGCAACGCGGAGGCCTCCTTGAAATGCCACGAATCGCATGTTGC